TATAAAAAAACAATTGGTTATTTGGAACATTCATAAACCACATGACGAATGAACAAGTTTTTCGTAGTCTAAAACGGAACGTGTAAAACACGTCTTTTATTCTCTGTTTAAGGTTTTATATTATTTGGCATGGCTTCTGGGCCTTTGAGCCATTGTAAACACGTTCCGTCTCCAAATGTCTATTGAGAATGACAAACATTACTTTTATTTCAGGCTTTATTCGAAAATTCAATTATGCTATACGAAATGAGCAAAAAATATGCAATTTTATAAGATGTTTTACATCACTAGACGCGTTATAAAAATTTCAGGTCAAAACTGGACATGTTTCTTTTCTTCAATCTAGTAAAATTTAAGATTAAAAACGAGAAACAAGCTGTACTCGGTAAATATTAATTGAAACTAAATAACGTTGATTATTAACGCATATTAGAGACTAAAATAATATAATGTGATATTTCCGACTAGTTTAAGATCGCATATTTTATATCCTTTCTATAATATTTGATATAACCGTAGATATATTTTAATTGTCTTAACTAAGTATTTGAGTTCAGAAACGAATATCTTATGCACAAGTGTTTTGTTTATTGCTTATATTGACACATATCGTACTACCTCGCCATAGTAATGTTGAGCTTGCTATAAATTTCACAGTACGGTTAATAATAAAATCCCGGTTTAATCCCCACCAGTACCAATGGAATTATTAATATCGATTTCAAGTATTGGGGTACTACGTTCTTGGTGGTGAAGAAAAACGTCGTGAGGAACCAATATGAGGAATAAAATATTTCGAATACATTTGAAATCCGCAAACACGCACCGTGCAGGGCGTTCGAAGTTCCTTACAGAAATAAACCTGTGTCCAGTAGTGGGTCATATACAAGGTTGTTTTGAAAATTGCAGAGAAAGTTCAGAATAAGTAATATAGGCAAAGGGTGAAGAAATATCAATTTAAAAAAAATCTCCGAAATTCTTTATTTTTATCTTTTTAATTCAAAATGCGGGTAATGCATTATTTAACTGACTGACACACACGCACATTCGTAAGGGTCGATCGGTAGGCGAAATCCTTGTTACCCTTAAAGCAGATGAAATTTTATATAATATCAAGTAATAGTATAAGCCTTATTTACTTCAATAGTACTACTAAGTAATAGTATAAGCTTTATTATTTATATATTTGAATTTAAATTTCAAACTTGGCTACTCTGAAAAATAACCATGTACATGATGGAAACGCTTTTTAAACAAATTTCAAAAAACGAGAAGGTTCTATACTTGACGGTTATGTTTTTTTAAATATTTGTATATGTTCACCGGTTTCGTGAAAACAGCTGAGCAGATATGTTTTTTTTATTAAATAGGCTACACTTTAGGGCTAGTTCCATATATGAAGACAAAATTCAGGCACCAAGCATGAAGAAATGAACTTTTTAATGCACAACATTTAGACACATTTTAGTTTAATGATTTCTTATATTTACGCGAACATTGCACATGATTAAAACTACTTTTTACGGATTTTATCGCGTTTATTTTTACTTTTTATTTTTAATTCCCGACGTTTCGGGCGCTTTCCAGCACCCATGGTCACGGGTGACTGAGATGACTGACGTCCCGATGTCATTGTTAAACCCGGAGTACCTTCAGCTTTTTTAATTATTGTTTATGGTCCGATCTATGCCAAATGAACTGACTATGTCTTGAGGTCTTGCAGTGGTATGCTTGGGTTAAGTTTTAATTTTATTGATTATTGGATCCCAAGCAGGTGGTAGTACCCAGCCTCCTTCTCTATTGAAATTAGGATGTTTTTTAATTTCAATAGCCTCACGTATCATCCTTGGCAGGAATCGGTGTTCTTTCGCGAGGATTTGTGGTCTATCAAATCTGATGTAGTGTGAAGCATCAACGTTCCGGGAAGTCTGCAGTTTGTGATCATATCCTAGACGGCCCCAACCATTACATCAGATCTGAAGGTACTCCGGGTTTAACAATGACACCGGGACGTCATTCATCTCAGTCCCCCGTGACCATGGGTGCTTGAAAGCGCCCGAAACGTCGGGAATTAAAAATAAAAAGTAAAAATAAACGCGATAAAATCCGTAAAAGTAGTTTTAGACATTTTAGTTATCACCCTGAACTTTTTATATCCCTAGACCACCCAAAAGGGTAAAATAATTAAACTTTTATCTAGAGTACGGATCCAATTCGAAACTAAAAAAATAATAATAACTTTAACCCTCCAATTTTCACAATAGTTAATAGTATATAATAGTTTCTGAAAACGGAGGCTTCAATTCTTCGACACACATTGTCGTTGCACTGACGTAACTTAAATTAATAATTTAAAAAAACCCCTAAACAAAAAGAGCTGATGGTCTTCAAACGGTGGACAAGATTTTCCTGAATCATTGCTAAGAACATTCTCGATCGAGTCATTTTACAAACAAAAAGAAACTAAATCTATATCGGTTCATCCGTTGGGGAGCTACGATTCCACTGACACACACACACACACACACACACACACACACACACACACACACACACACACACACACACACACACACACACACACACACACACACACACACACACACACACACACACACACACACACACACACACACACACACACACACACACACACACACACACACACACACACACACACACACACACACACACACACACACACATACCATGTTACACAGATACACGCGTAAAACACATATAACATCTCTCTGTATGCGTCTGGGTTGAAAATACTCCTAAAATTCATTTCTACTTTCCATCCAATAAAGAAATACATGATTTGTCACCTATCATATATTTTACATGTATATTGTAAAGATATACACCTTAATATGTTTTACATGTAATGTTTCAAACAAATTTCTAAATAAGTATGTACATAATACGAGGCGCGAGTCTTTTGCGGGACACACGTCGAAACTTCCTCTCGAAAACTCTGTATGAACGAAGAGAAAAGCCTTGTTCCTAGTGTAACCTGCTCGCTATAATTTTGAAAAGTGTATACAACTCAAGAAATAATATTACAACTTACGTTTAGAAAATATTTAAACTAAAGCCAAAAAATATTTATAACTAGTAGCGACTTCGTCCGCATATAACGTTTGCAGATCTATATAGATAGATATATATAATATATATATATATATATATATATATAATATATATAATGTAAAAACTGCTTTTTTAAAGAATAAGAGTGACAAAGGATCACGTGATAGTAAGTGGATGTTGTGGCCCCTTATCCTCGATTAAGTATCAAAATGAAGATGTATTGTTACCCCTCGTTTACAGTAAAAAGGATCTCCGGTTCCCTACACATATCATAAGAGAAACAGCACCATTAAACTGCTATTTTAAGCTGGTATTCTGTGAGAGCGTAGTCTTTCCCGGGTCGAGCCGACCTATTCGTGCTACAACCACATTAAAACAGCAGCATGACTCTACCACATATAACTTCATACAGTTCTTTTTCCTTTATTTTAAAAACTATGTGTGATATTAAAAAATGGTAAAAATAGAAATTGAAAACCCATAATTTTCATGTAAAATATTTGTTGTATTATTGTAGCATGGCATTGAAGTAAAAAATGTTAAAAATCGATTATACATTAAATCCATAAGAGATAGTAGATAAATTTAATAGAATTTTATTCAAAATTACAAATCAAAAAGTTTTTTTAAGAGTAAACGTCTCGTATTTTACGAGATAATCATCAAAGCCATTTATTTTTTTAGTTTTTCGATTTCGAGATGCATGAGCATTGTTATTTTTTGATACTACCTGTGAGCGTTCCACGTAAGTTTTTTTTAATTATGGTAGCACCCTATATTGTTATACCTTATTGGAAAGCTGAAGAAACGTAGATATTTTTAAGTATATCTGCAATATATCTGCCACGGATTTTTTTAATATTCCTCAAAGAAGAAAAAATATTTTGTACATATTTATTTCTTTTTTCACCTATCAATCGTCTACTACGACCTAGATGGTTTATTTACCTAAAATCTTGGTATTTAAAATAATAAAACAACTTATCTACTACACAAAAGTTATAAGAAAAATAAAACAAGAGGCACGAATAACAAAATAATTAGTACAATAGAAAAAAAGGCAATATTTATAAAAAACTTAATTATCCGATATCTTGAAAACGGTTAAGTTTGGGGTATGGTGTTTTCTAGTTTAAACCGTTGGTAATGATGCAAATTACAACCCCCTAAAGTATCTTGGTTGACTTAACCTGTAACCCTGTAATATATTGAAAAAAATTCTATACACAGGCCTGTCCGTATCTTTCATTCTATTTATGTATAATTTTAATATCACACGCAATAAATAAATGTTTCAATTAATATTTATCTTAGGCACAAGCTTTATACCTTATTTAAAAAAATGACGTTGCGTTAATCTATCTAAGGTTTTCTGCGTAACTATAAAACGGTTTTTGTTCAGGGTTACGTCATTGGGTATGTTACAAAGGAATGGAAAAGCAAAACTAAGTCGCCCCATTATGTCACATTATATAGCCAGTCCAGCGCACTTTTATATATAACGGTCAAAGGTCTGTAACTATGTATAAATATTACAAATTTATGACCAAAGAGTATATAATCTCTATGTTTTAATTATGATATGCACGTAATGGCTTTATACTGGCATATTCCCACTTACTTTAGATGAAAACTTTATTTTTCACTGTCACTCTCCATTTTGACAAAACAGTGCAATGATAAATAAAGCAATGAATAGGTTATTCTTCAAGTTCACTAAAACTTTCCTTGGGTATTCTTTTAAACACAGTGTATCTTCAACGAGTTTTAAGTTCAGTAAGGACGCCGCTCTAGTTGGCGATTCATTTTGTTTAGAACCAATTGAGTACGAAGGCCACACTCTCAGAAAACATGACAATTGTAGACGTCAAAATCTATATGAATTTGGTATGTACGTTGCTGCATGTATGCCAAAATTCGTACAAAAAGTTCAAATGCAGCACACGGACGAACTGGAAATACTCGTTGCGCCTGAAGGCTTGTTTCCCGTTCTAAGTTTTATGAATCTTCACCAACATGCTTGCTTCAATCAATGTTCTTCGGCTACTGCCATAGACGTTCCCAGTAGAGTATATAGATTTGAAGTAGTGTATAATATTCTTAGTTTAAGATTTGGAGAGCGAGCTAGAGTAAAAACTTACACTGATGAAGTTACTCCATTACGGTCGGCTTATGAGCTTTGGAAAGGTTGTAACTGGCAAGAAAGGGAAATTTATGATATGTTTGGCATCATCTTTACACACCATCCGGACCTCAGAAGAATTCTCACTGACTACGGCTTTAAAGGCCATCCTCTCAGGAAGGATTTCCCTTTAGTTGGTTATACTGAAGTAAGATATGACGATGGGCTAAAGAAATTGGTGTACGAGCCGGTAGAATATGCACAGGAAATGCGGAGCTACCAGTTAAATTCTCCGTGGAATTATTTAAAAACTTTTCATGAGGAATATAACGCTGCTCCTGTACCCAAAAAAGAAAAGGAATAATGGGGTTAGCTCTTGTAAACTACAGGCACAATTATCACATTTATCCTCAGATATTATCTAAAAATTAATGCAATAAAATTTTATTTATATAATTTTAATTTTTTTTTCTATATATAACTATACCGAACTTCTATACGTACTATATTGAAAATACTTTTATGGCATCTGCCGCTAGAGGGCAAATACCTTTCTGCGGGAATGTTTCCGATGACATAATTGGATAAGTCTTATTACATCTAATAATTATGGAGTGTAATTAGTTAACATCTTGCAATACTTGAAACACACGCACATATTTTTCCTAGTAATATATAGTGAATTTATTCACAGAAAAATAACAACTATTTATTACTTCCGCATCTAAACATCTAAATGTTTTAACTTTTTTTATATGTTTGGTTATTGAGCAACATACTACTAACAGACTGCAACTTAAATCGAATAAATGAGTGTAACATAATACTGTAAAGACTGCGATATACCCTGCAGTACGCCTTCTCTATCTTTTTGGACAGCCATGTGTAATAACGTAGCTTAGAATACATTGTATCTTATTCCAAGTACATTAAGTTTAAAAGCTTTAAAACGTATATACATTATGTTGCACGTGACTATACCTTTTTATACATTAATTTTATTTATACATACACAACTGTTAAAGTCAAATAGTCCAAAGAAGTCAAAGGCTACGTAAATCTTTTGGCTTCAGCTAATACGTGGTCTATGGTTTTTATGTTAGGTTTTTGTCCCTACCTGCCGCTTGTTGACATCGTACAAATATTCCAAACGAGTTTCAATTCCACAAACATATAATAAAACAAGATAAATCCGGTGTAAATACCATTTAAATAACAACTGCGATGTTGGGGTAATTATAATAAAGACTCTGAAATTCAAAAATATTTATTATAAGTAGGAGAACTACCCTGCAGCACGCGTCAGCTTGAAAAAGAACCACGCACACTATATCAGCAAAATAGCAGCATTATGGTGAGTGACGAGATCTGGAGAGCCATTTCAGTGGTCCTTCGATGTGATAACACATCTGCATTTTCATTTTTGAAAGAGCAAAAATTTCTATAGACTACAAAGTTAGTGCGTGCAAATTATGTGTCATCCATACGCTTTACAAAAAAAAATGGTTTAGTTTAAATTTTCCGAGCGGTTGAAATATTACCTATATTAACACTAATTTATATAGCTTATAAATCGTTATATCTGTAATGTATTTTTTAATCTTATTATTTATTTTATGTTGCCGTTTGGAATATTATATTATCACTGACACAGTTCATCCACCTTTTCGAAGGTCTCCCTCTACTCTTTTATCTATCCATTTTCATAGCCGACACATCCTTCTCATTATTTATTCTCGTTATTTAATTTTCTTTCCTTTATACAATATCTCCAAAGATAGCTTACCACTTCTCAACATTTTCGTGACGCCAGTGCCACCTTCATACTATTCGACAAACTAATAATTTTTGTTTAGGTCTTGGACTAGGACCAGCACTACATCGGTTGGGCTTTCAACAAAGACTAAACGACGAGGTATCTACAACCACGTCACGTGGTTGACACAATCCTGTGTCTTAGTACATGATTTTATTTATTCAATTAAATTCTTATATTAGTTTTATAAATTAAGATAAAAAGGGCGGATTGAACGCATATAGGCCATCTTCCTAAGACTATTTAAAATTCTCAGCTGCCAGTGTAATGCGGCTGTGTTTTGTTTTGTTTTTTTTTTATAGAAGAGGGGTGCAAACGAGCATACGGTTTAGCTGATATTAAGTGACTACCGCAGCCCATGACCAACCGCAACACCAGGGGAATTGCAGGTACGTTGCTGGCCCTTTAAAAATGGAGTAAGCCCTTTTCTTGAAGGCCCCCAGGTCGTATCGGTCCGTAAAAATCGCCGGTGGTAAACTATTCCGTAGGTCGTACGTGGAAGAAAACTCCTTGTGAAACGTGTTCGACTGCCAAGCATCCAGATGTGGATGGTATCGGGAGGTTTCCCGCGTAGTGCGTTTATGAATTTGGCGGCTGGGATTAATCCGAACAATTCATCAGAGCACTCCCCGTGATAGATGCGATAAAATATGCAAAGAGATGCAACATCTTTTCGCAGCGCAAGAGAATCGAGTCGATCGGAAGGCACTCGGACGTCGATGATTCGAGTCGCTCTGCGCTGGTTGCTGTCAAGTGGAAGAAGCTGGTACTGGGGAGCCCCAGCCCAGAGATGAGAACAGTATTCCGTGTGCGTCCGAACCTGCGCCTTTAAGGTTATATTCTCTCGCTCTGCTGAGCACGCCAAGCCTTTTAGAGGCCAATTTAGCCTTCTCTTCCAAGTGACCACGAAACTGCTCGTCACTCGATATGTCGACGCCAAGAATTCCGATACTGACTGAGGCAATAAGAGAAGTGCCTTAAAACTGAAGAGTTACGACAAAAGGGTTCTTTTTAGCGGTTAACGAACAAACTTGTGTATTCTGGGGATTAAACTGGACTAGATTTAGTCGCCCCCAATCCGATACTTTGTTCAGCAAAGACTTGACTTTAGGCACAAGTTTGTACCGGTACTCGGAGACGTATTCCCGAGAAATATTGGCACAGCCGGTGTACAAAGTATCACCAGTGCTGTCATCTGCATTGCAGGCTTGCAACATATCATTAATATGCAGAAGAAACAGCGTTGGTGATAGCATGCAGCCTTGTGGAACACCAGCATTAATAGGTTTGTAATCAGAGCTTGCACCGTCTACAACGACCTTGATGCTCCGATCTGCAAGAAAGCTGGTAATCCCATTGTACAATTTCTCGGGAAGCCCATAGGAAGGCAGCTTCGAAATAAGCGCTTTGTACCAAACCCGATCGAAGGCCTTCATAATGTCCAAGCTAATGGCCAATGCCTCCCCCCTTGGACTCTACTGCCGCCGCCCATCTATGAGTCAGGTACACCAGAAGATCACCAGCTGATCGACCACGATGAAAACTGTATTGATGATCACTAATCATCTGGTGATTCTCAAGGTACAATACAATGGATTCCATTGTTTTGGATAACAAGGAGGTTTTGTATGGTGGGTATGGTGAACCAGAGACCATTTTACTTAAAACAAATCATTCTTAAGCCTCAGAGGTAACAATGCATTCTGCATTTTGATTTTGAATCGAGAATAAATATAGATATCTATGGGCCACATCATATACTTACCTATTAAAAATATTTATTATAGCATATCCATTACTTGTACTGATATGAATTTATATCTATTTTCCCAGTCTTATGGGCGACCAGATGACGGTCCTTTCAAAAGCCTGACAATTAATAACTTTGGAAATTAGCGGAAAGCGACTAATTATTCCATCTTCATTTCAAGTAAGTTCTCCTATAAGGATCTTTAGCGCGGTGGACTAGATAATTATATTCGCTTTATTGTCTGTTATTCGTTGAGCAACGATCGTTAATATTTTGTGTCACTATAGTTTGTTCAATTAAAATGCTTGTCCTTATATCCGATAGGAATTATCTTTTATTATTTTAATTTTAATTCAAATTTAAAAAAAATATTTAAATATTTTTTACTTTAAAATTATTTTTGGGCATGGGGAATCCGAACTTAAAGTCTACAACAAACAATTCTACAAACCTAGCGTTTTAACGTAACTAGTACACGACATCGCCTACAAAGCTAGATCTTAAGTTAAATTTCTTTTGGCTTCATATCTGCCTCCATCATACGGACATCTGCGTAAGAATAACGACAGAGTGGAGGATTGAATGAGCAATCGGCCGCAGTATGTGGCGTGCCCTCGGCATCGCCGTTCGCATGCCGTAGTCGCGCTCTCCTGAGGTCGAAACTTTGTACGTGCCTTCCTTCAACTATGCTGAACTTGATAATTATTTCATAAATACGCATCATTGAGAACGACACGATCGATAAAAGTCGAAAATAATTTAAGCATCTTAGACATTCCGAAAACTACAAAGTTATTAAAAACTTTAATATATCAATACGCAAAGGGGTAAGTCCGACTCACAGTATTTAAACCTGTTTTGTGTATTTAAAATATTATATAAACCATTAAATATGCATATTATTATTATTTTAACCATCTATTCATTTTCTATATTAAGTTCACCTACAAAGAGTTACGCTTCTATTATAAGTATTTAGATTTATGTTTTTGTTTGATCTAATTTAATTTATTGCAACAGATTATCACACATATTTAAATGCGTTCATTTCATTTCATAAAGTCATGAAATTTTCCTTAACTTTATGTTTGTTAAAAATTACCTCAACCTATCCAAGCTATTAATATAAATTAAAGGTGAACAAAACCCGATTATATTAATATTTTAACAATGTGTATAAATACGGCACTCTTAAACCACATTTATACGAGCTTCTGGACAAATTTTTAACACAAATGATTTATTAAACAATTTATTTACAAGATTATTAAAATGCCAACGACGTTATACTCCACCTGAAGTATAACAGCTATCTTGTTTTATCTTAGAACTATAATAAAATGCCTCACAGTATACTGACTATAGCTATACCGTACGAATGAACGTATAGGAAAAATATATTGCTGTTCCTCAGTAGATATAAGTGAGATGGTGATATCCCTATGGATGTTTTCCATGTCAGATAATAAGCTCTGCCACCAACGGAAATCAGATTTTTTAATTCATAAAAATTCAAGCAATTCCATTAAAAAATATTTTCTTTAACTACTACAAGTATACCTTGGAGTAATGCTTAGTTTTGCTTGTTTTACGAAAGTTTGACGACGAAGTTGACGTGGAAGAGAAACCCTGCAGTAATATTATGGTTGCAGGACGAATGGATCGGCTCAACCGAGGAAGAAACACGCAGAATACCAGTGTAAAGTAACTACTTAATGTTTCTGTATTTCTCATTAAATATAAGTGTAAAGTAGCTACTTAATGTTTCTGTATTTCTCATTAAATATAAGTGTAAAGT